AGAGAGAGAGAGAGAGAGAGAGAGAGAGAGAGAGAGAGACAGACAGAGAGAGAGCGCGAGAGAGAGACAGAGACAGAGAGAGACAGACAGAGCGAGAGAGACAGAGACGGAGACAGAGAGAGACAGAGAGAAAACAAGAAACAAAGAAAGGAGAGTGCAAAGTCTAAAGGAAGGAGTTGGAGTGCATGATTTAGGAGGTGGTGGTGGTGGAGGAGAGACATGTTACACACAAGGAGATTCTTGTCCCTGCTCCGTACATCCCTTTCAATCCTCCTGCTGCTCTCAGACAAAGCGACTTGTCCTCAGATCAGCGTGATGGCACAGAGTGAAGGACAGTTTCAAAACAGACATACGCTGTGATCAAGCTGCAGCTGTCAGACAGGGTCAGTTCACGCGCCTGGTGCTCAGTCTGTGTGTCTGTATCTCCGTATCTCCCTCTCCATCCTCCTGCCACCTTCCGCCTCAGGAAGGCATACACTGCACCCGGTCAGGACCGTCCCCCTCCTCATCTGATGACTCAGAGGAACTTGTACTATCCTCCGACTCTTCCTCAGGTCCAACTGCAGAATCCCTCGGCCGCTGGTGAGGGGAGAGTAAGGGAATGTCGAGGGTAGGAGAGAATGGATTCAGGTGTGTGGAAGAAATGGATGAGTAGACAGAGGGCAATTGCAAAAAGAGTTAGAAACAGATTGCAAAAGAAGTCCATAGAGTTGTTGACCCAGTGCACCCCGCCACTCCGTTCTCTAACCCCAGAGATTGAAAATTCATTCCTTCTTTACCAGCCCTCTCCCATCACTCTGAACACTCACCCTCATACTCCAGGTGTCTCCCTCTCCAACCCAAACTGCAGCACACTCTCCCTCTTTCAACCCCATACTCCCTCTCCAATCTTCCCAGCAACACCAGCTCCCCCCCTCCATCATACTCCCAGGTCCTCTCCTTCCTCCCTACAGTCCTGGAGATTTCCCCCAATCCACCAGCCATACTCCCATCAACCCCTCTTTATTGTTTCTTCCCCCGAAGTAACTCTAAGCCTTCCGTTCTCACCCACCTGGCGGTGCCTGCGCTGTCTCAGATGGTGCATCAAAAACCAGAGCATGTGGCTGTCGAAGAGATCAGTGTGACGGAGACAATCCTCGTCCCTCTCGCGCTTATTCTTCTTGATCACCTACAGCAGCATTTTCCCCACAGCACCGAGGGAAGGGGAGAGAGAAACAAAAAAAAGGGGACACAAAAAGTAAAACTCAATGACAATCACATCCTTTCTCCCTCTGGATAGATATCCCAGAGCCACAGAGATTCAACACTGTCATCAAGGGCTGTTCAGATGGGAAGCCATCTCCATCTCTTTAGACAAGAGAGATAGGTGCTAGTCCTTTGGAAGCCCACTGCTAGGTTCATTGCCATACAGGGAACCCATTACAAACCCCTGTGTGAACACTGACCTGTTCAGGCAGATACATCCCTCCTTCAGCATAACAGATCAACCAGGCTCACAGTGCTCCAGGCATGGTCTCAAACCCTGAGGGACTGTAGCAGAACTTCACTACCAAATGGTCAAATCCAACACAGAATCAAACCATCACCCTTCAAAGTTTAACAACATCACCACTGCTCAATCATCCACCATCAACAATCTTGATGGTTACCATTGACCAGCAACTGGATTAGCTGTACAAGCAGAGCAGGTCAGAGGCTGGGAATCCTGCAGCGAGTAACTCCCCAAAGACTGTACCACCATCTACAAGGCACGAGTCAGGAGTGTGATGGGATACTCTCCTCTTGCCCCTGGATGGGGGCAGCTCCAACAACACTCAAGAAGCTCGACACCATCCAGGACAAAGCAGCCCCCGCTTGATTGGCACCACATCCACAAACATCCCACTCCCTCCACCACCGACGCTCAGTAGCAGCAGTGTGTACCATCTACAAGATGCTCTGCAGAAATTCACCAAAGATCCTCAGGCAGCACCTTCCAAACCCACAGCCACTTCCATCCAGAAGGACAAGGGCAGCAGATACATGGGAACAACATGACTGAGCCACTCACCATCCTGATATGGAAATACAATCGCCATTCCTTCGATGTTGCTGGGTCAGAATCCTGGAATTCCCTCCCTAAGGGATACTGTGGGTCTACCGTCACCCCAAAGACTGGAGCAGTTCAGGGTGGCAGCTCACCACTACCTTCTGAAGGGGCAGTAGGTAGCGGTGGAGTTCAGGATGTGCTGACAGAGTGAAGGCTCACCTCTGTTAACCCGGACAATCCGTTCACAGCTTCTGATGTGGGCGCCCAGATCTTCACATCGTGGTCGAGACCGCTGGTTGCTAGGACAGGAAGATGAGGATGTGGCTCAAGACAATTCACCTGGGCAGTGGGAGTGGGGGGGAGGGGGGGAAAATGGAAACAGGGCAGGCCGAGGGGGGGGGAGGGGGGGGGGAGGAGTGTTGTAGACGATCAGGGAAGAAATGAGAACACCAAGAACTGTTCTTAAACATTGCTCACCTCAAATCTGACCTAATTTGCGGAGCACTCTCCCACTGTCCAACTCGTGGACTCACCATTTTCCCCAAAGTCTGTACCAGGCCCCAACCCACTGCAATCATTGCTCGCCCCCACCCATCCCACACCACTCTCCCTGGCCAACTCGCCCAGCCCTCACCTTTAATGCAGCCACAAAAAAAAAAGGACTATTTCAATTTGAGAGTATAGGTACAATGCTTTTAGATTTTATTTCCCTCTGTGAAGGAAAGTCCAACAGAACCGGACTCCAGTTTTAACATGGGTTCCTGTCGGAGTCAATGATTCATTTAAAGTTGCAGCCTTCAGAAACAACCTGATAGATGGTGGCTCACTGTTGCACTGGCCAGTGGCCAAGTGTTGACGTCATGGCAAGTGCTGGGCAACACCAGGGCTCCTCCTGCCCAGTGATTTTAAACTAATACGTACCATGGAGTCAGATATACGTCATAGAAACAGACCCTCCGGTCCAACTTGTCCATGCCAACCACATATCCTAAATAAATCTAGTCCCTTGTGCCATATCGCTCTAAACCCTTCCTATTCATGTACCCGTCCAGACCCCTTTTAAATGCTGTAATTGTACCAGCCTCCACCACTTCCTCTGGCAGTTCATTCCACACACGCACCACCCTCTGAAAAAGTTGCCTCTCGGGTCTCTTCTAAACCTTTCTCCTGTCACCTTAAACTGATGCGCTCTAGATTTGGATCCCCCTCCCCTACCCTGGGGAAATGACCTGTCTATTTACTCTATTCATGCCCTTCATGATTTTATAAACCTCTATAAAGGTTACACCTCAGCCTCTGACCCTCCAGGGAAAATAGTCCCATTCTATTCAGCCCAACCCTGGCAACATCCTTGTAAATCCTTCCTGAACCCTTTCAGGTTTCACAACATCCTTCCTACAGCAGGGAGACCAGGACTGAACACAGTATTCCAAAAGTGGCCTAACCAATGTCCCATACAGCTGCAACATGACCCTCCCAACACCTATATTCAATGCACTGACCAATAAAGGTAAGCATACCAAACACCTCCTTCTCTATCCTGTCTACCTACAACTCCACTTTCAAGGAACTACGAACCTGCACTCCAAGGTCTCTTTGTTCAGCAACACTCCCCAGGACCTTGCCATTAAGTGTGTGCACGTCCTGCCCCGATTTAGCTTTCCAAAATGCAGCTCCTCACATTTATCTAAATTATACCTGCCACTCCTTGGCCAGTCTAATCAAGATCCCATTGCACTTGGAGGTAGTCTTGCTCTCGGTCCACTACAGCTCCAAATTTTGGTGTCATCTGTAAACTTACTAACCATACCTCCTATATTCACATAGGAATTATTTTATATAAATGACAAAAAGCAGTGGACCAGCACCGATCCTTGTGGCACACCACTGGTCACAGGCCTCCAGTCCGAAAAGCAACCTTCCTCCACCACCACCCTCTGTCTTCTACTTTTGAAGAAATTCTGTATCCAAATAGCTAGTTCTCCCTTTATTCTGTGTGACCTAGCCTTGCTAAGCGGTCTACCATGAGGAGCCTTGTCAAACACCTTGCTGAAGTCCATACAGATCACGTCCACTGTGCTGCCCTCAATCCTTTTCATTACTTCAAAAAAACAAATCAAGTTAGAGAGACACGATTTCCCATACACAAAGCCATGTTAGCTGTCCCTAATCAGTCCTCGCCTCTCCAAATACACGTAAATCCTGTCTCTCAGGATTCCCTCCAACAACTTGCCTGCCTCCCCAATCTATAGTTCCCTGGCTTTTCCTTAAATAATGGCACATTAGCCAGCCTCCAGTCTTTGGGCACCTCACATGTGGCTATCGATGATACAAATATCACAGCAAGGGGCCCAGTAATATCTTCCCTAGCTTCCCACAGAGTTCTAGGGTACACCTGATCAGGTCCCAGGGATTTATCCACCTTTTTGCATTAAGACATCTCGCACCTCTTCTTCTGTAATATAGACATTTTTCAAGATGTCACTATTTATTTCCCTATGTCCTATACCTTCCATATTCTCTTCCACATAAACACTGACAAAATAATCATTTAGTATTTCCCCCATCTCCTACAGATCCACACATAGGCAGTCTTGCTGATCTTTAAGGGGCCCTATTCTCTCCCTGGTTACTCTTTTGTCCTTAAATGTATTTATAGAATCCCTTTGGGTTTTCCTTTGGCCAAAGCGCTGTCCCTTCTCTGCCCTCCTGATCTCCCTCTCAAGTATACTCCCCCACTGTTTTTGTATTCTTCTCAGGATTCAATTGATTTCTTGCTGTCTCTGCCTGACATATGCTTTCTTCTTATTCTTGACCAATACCTCGATTGGTCTCATCATCCAGCAGTCCCTAGACCTTCCAGCTTTGCCGTTCACCCTAACAGGAAGGTACTGTCTCTACACTCATTATGTCACTTTTTGCTTGACATTTTTCCCATTTTCCAGCCAGCCCTTTACCTGTGACCATTTGCCCCCAAAGTTCTTGCCGAATACCGTCAAAATTGGCCTCCCTCTAAGTTTTAGATCCGGTCTATCCTTTTCTATCTCTATTTTAAAACTAATAGAATTGTGGTCACATAACCCAAAGTGCTCTCCCACTGACACCTCAGTTACCCGCCCTGCCTTATTTCCCAAGAGGTGGTCAGGTTTTGCTCCCTCCCTAGCAGGTACATCCACACACTGAATCAGGCAATTCCTGTACACACTTCGATCCCTCCCCATCTCAACCCTTAACACCAAGGCAGTCCCAGTCTATGTTTGGAAAATTATAATGCCCTACCATAAACCACCCTATTATTCTCAGATAACTGAGATCTCCTTACAAATTTGCTTCTCAATTTCTCACTGACTGTTGGGGGTCTATAGTACAATCTTGGGAACTCTATAGTAGTTAACCAGTAACTTGGAAACAGGTCATTTGGTTGCTGTTGGTGGGAGCTTGTTGTGTGTAACCTTGCTGCTGTGTTTCATACATTACTCAAACAAAGTGAGACGTCAGTTCCTACGGGAGTGTGTCCCAGACACTCCGTGCTCTGGCTAAAGTGGTTTCACCAGAATGGATTTTGTGACCACCTTGTACTGGCTGTCTTATTCTGACCTCATTCACGAGTAGAAGTGTAGCCTACTCTGTCATTACATGTGGGTTCAAACATCTTTCCTCCAGGGAGAAAAAGAGAATAGTTTTGAAAATGCAGTTTTTAGTTTTTAGCTGGGGTTATGCATCCCAAGAGAAAGCAGAGTCAACCCCAACTTTTAAAAGAAACAAAACAATCAGATAAATTCTACGAGCAGAAAGCGTTTTCAGGGTTTTGGGTGGCAAAGAGGGAAGGCCATTATCTCCCCTGTAAAGCGATGACTGTCTGAAGCCACAACTGTATGGAAATTGAGCTTAGCCAGCTCTCTGAAAGACTGGATGTGATGAGGCACGTGGCCTGCTTTGGTGTTATGGGGGCGCAGCACCTCAGCAAATGAGGCTACACACAGTACACCCCAGATCCCTCAAAATGTTTTATACTCACCACTCCCCCTTTGTCACCCTCCATGAACTGGACAATTTGACAAGATGACTTCTCCCAGAGGAAGATATGGCCACAGTCACTGCCACTCACGACAAACTCACTCTTGGGGCCGTAGAAATTCACCCCTTTGACTGTG